GATTAATCTGAATGGACATCCAGGAATGACTAGATTTTTAAGAAAAAACAAAACCCTGAAAGGGAAGTGCCCAAATGCAACAAACACACTGTACCTGATATTTGAAGAACCAGTTTTAAAGTGGAAACAAATGAAGAATTAAAAATATATGTAATCAATATTCTCAGAGTGATTTATTAGTCTGTCATACCCGTAAAACAGTAATTGTCTGAAATAAGTAGGAAGCGGCCAGATTCTTTGGAAATAAAAATGGTATCAACCAATAAAAACTCAATAGCTGGATTAATTACTGTTGGAAGACAATTCTCCTTTAGTCTCTTGCATTTCTGTACACCTTGCAAAGGGACTGCCCTTGTTTTACACTATCTTTTCAAGGATGTTTATTTGGTAAGTGCCTTGGAAAATAGAGGCAGTGTGTCCCTCCAGAGCAAGGCATACTTAATATTCAGTATAATGAAAATGTTTCCCTCTGGAGCAAAGGGCAGACATGCTCATAAAAAGACTCAGAATCCTTAAGCTCAGGGTTCCTTTTCTGTCACACAGCCTCCTATGTGTGCAGATAAGATCTGGCCCTTTTTGTATCTCCCTGTGGGAATTAGGACTCAAGAAACTAACACAAATGCTGATACTCTGGCCACTGCCACTATGTGAGAAATGAACTGTCTTTGTCTCTGACCCAGGAGTCTCATGTCTTCTTCTAGTATCCATGAAGCTGTGACAGGCTAACTCACAAACAGAGGAAAATCTCAGACCCTTCACAGTTCTTAATAATAGAAATACTGAGCCTAAAATAAAGAACTGAAAGATCAAGTCAGAGTATTCTCCCAGAACTAAACCCAAAAATAAATATGGAGTAGGGGGGGTAGTTAAGAAGCATAGATGATAGACCCAGAGACTCCAATATGAAATAGGAATTCTGAAAGAACAGAGAGAATTGAAAGAAATAGATAATCAGGAAAAATAGAATTTTTTTTCTTAGGCCTAAAGAAATATTTAAATTGAAAAGGCCATAATATATCAGTGAATCACTCCATAGATTACTTAATTACAAGAGAAAATGCTGCATCTACAATGGTCAAAGCTTGCAGAAACCACCTTAACCAAGCAATCAATAACACTTAACGAACATCATTAATAATGGAACAAAGTGATTCATGTGCTTTCTGACACAATGCTCTAAGGACAAAGTATCACTTCTATAATATTCTTGCCGAAAGGTTTACTCTTAATCTAGATATGGAAACAATACGACAAATCCAATTTGAAAGACATTCTATAATACAGCTGACCTGGATTCTTCCTTCAAAAATATCAATGACATGAAAGACAGAAAAAGACAAGGGTGCTGTTCTAAATAAAAGAAAAATAAAGAAATGAAACAACTAAATGCAGTCCATAATCCTTCATTGGATCCCTTGATTTAAAAAAAAAACACACACACAAAAAAAAAAACTATAAAGGATATTATTGGAACAATTGTGGAAATTTTAATATAGACTATTAAATAATAGTATTGTTTCAAATTGCATTGAATCATATTTAAGCAAAGATTTTTTTCTGTGCAGTAAGTATTTAGAGGTTATGTAGAAAAACATCCTTGTTCCTTAGGAAATATATACTGATATAATAAGGATAAAGCTTCATTAATATCTGCAACTTACTCTTAAATGGCTCATATATAAAAATTATATATGACCAATATAATATATATGAAACCTGTATACAATATATACACACACATATATATGACAGAGAGACAGAGGCTGAAATATAAAAGAAAATATGGCTAAATATTAACAATTGGTAAAACTAGAATATCTGGGTTCCATTGTATTATTCTTGAAAGTTTGCTGTAGGTTTGCTAATTTTCAAAATAAAAAATTCCAATCAAATGCCAAAAAAAAGATTAATATAAAAACAACCCATCCCTAGACATAGTTAGGAGTCATTTCATAACTCAAAAATTTAAAGATAACATTCTAAAATTTTTTCAGAGAGTTTGTGAGCTGACGCATGCACTAAACTTCAAGCCCACCATCCAAGGCTTACATTTTTGTTTATCCACAGTAGTACAGTGAGATCTAGAAAATGAGGAAAAGGGATATTACTTACCATTATAATCTCATAGGCATGTTTCAGGAAGACATGAGTAGTTATTTTACTTTGAAAAAGCTATAGAATGCACCCTGGCCAGTTTTGCTCAGTGGTTAGAGCGTCATCTCTCGGACTGAAAGGTCCCGGGTTCGATTCCAGTCAAGGGTACGCACCTCTGTTGCAGGTTTGATCCCCTGCTCAGGTTGGGGTGAGGGAGGCAACCAATCGATGTGTCTTTCTCACATCAGTGTTTCTCTCTCTCTCTCTGTATCCTCTGGTGAGAATTAAAAAAAAAAAAAGCTATAGAATGGTATTTGTCTTATATAAGTAGAATTATTGCAGGCTGTAAGTGTAAACAATGTGGTCATGAACTGGATTCTATCGATGCCCTTGCTGCAAAAGGTGTACACATGAGGAAGATAGAGGACTCCAAGAAGGAACATTACAGTACCTTGTGTCCTCTCCTGTTCCCATTGGAATAAAAGCTTTGAGCTCTATAGTCCTGACCACAGGACAGGGGCCGCTGTGGCCCCAATGCCAGGCAAAGCTCACAGAGCAGAGAATTCCATCTGTGTGTATCTTCTTTGCTGCCCAAACCATACTCCATTCTCCAAGGCATTTTGACCCCACAGGAGTGTAGCAGGAGCCATGCATGCTTTCAGATGGCCCTATCCTTCAGAATTTTGAAAAGCAGAGACTGTTTGGGGGGAGCCCCTTTTTGCCCTGTCTCAGATTTCCGCCACCCTTGCTCAGGCTCACATCCTG